CCAGCTGAGAAGGACAGAATCTGCATCCTCGCTGCCAAAAAAAACTCTGCCGCTTCCGAGAAAAGCTGAGGATGATGCAGCAGATTTCATGATAGTCCCCCCAGCCTGTGCAGGTAGAGGGCGGAGTGAGATGCCTGACACTGACCTTCCGTCCAATTGAAAATGGACAAGCACCATATTCCCCGACGAAAGAACAAGGAGGAGATCCCCGGTGCTGTCAGAAAGATGCTCCACAACGCATCCTTCTAGCCGGAGTGCGAGGTCTGACTGATCCACCATGGAGAATGCCGAGACTTGTCTGGCGAACTCATTGACTCCAACCGCATTGGTTTTGCCTGCCTGATCGACGTGCACTAATTCATTGGACCCGATAAGTAACGCGCCTCCAACTGGAGGTGGAAGGGCAACCACTTTGAACAAGTCGCTAGGCAATTTTGGCACCGAAAGTAAGGTCGTGGAAGCTCGCTGTTCCAAATCTAGTGTAAACACAGTGTAAAAGATAGAATCTTTTCTTTCAGGAAGCAAAGCATGTGAAGTGGCAATCTGCGAGTACAGGACGCCGAACGTCGGCTCCCTATATTCATATAAGAACGCAAGACTGACAGGGTGAAGTATAGAGGGATCCAATGCAGTTAAGGGAAGCACAAAGGACGAGGCATATGGGGTCTGATACACGGTGCGGTCTTTGCTCTTCAAATCATTGCCAACGTGATCCGATACTTGGTTGAAATCGTCTTGATGAAGATGGAATTCGTAATCGTCCATGGCTAGGTCATCTCCTGGTTGATGAAAGGGTAAAATTGCAAGATTCCGAATCCCAAAGTTGAAGACTGCGCATCTACTGCTCGGATCCACACTCAGGATACTGCCACAACTGCTCAGATCGGGTACCCATGGACTACGGGTTAGATCATCCCGCTCATAGTAGTGGATTGAAAGGGTTGAGATCCCATGACGCTCTGGGTCCCATTCCACCAAGCTAAGTTTGGCATTGCGGAAAGCAAGTAAAAGAGCTTCACCACCGCTCTTAGGATTCAGAATTTTGACCCGACAGATGTCGACTACTGTTCCAGAAAGCGGATATTCTCGCTCCAGGACGAGCTTCGTTGTCTCTACCCGGTCTGGCCGCGCAGACTTACCCTCAATGGTTCCACCTCTCAGGTGATGTTGAACCTTGAGCAAAGAGAAGATCTGGAGAACAGAGGTCTTCACCACGACCAGATTTTCTGCTGTTGCTGAGATAAATGGAATTGCCAGGGCATGAGTTACCCCGGAAGGGGGTAACAATTCTGTATAGCACTGCATTTTTTGTGTGGCTGATTGCTATGGTTTTCCCTATAGAAACCTTTATCAACCTAAAACAGTCCAGAATAATCAAGAAGACTATACATTGCAAAATCAAGGGCAAGAATTGGGATTAAGAGAATGAATGAAGGGTGGCCATAGGCTGATGATCTATACAACTAAGTCTGCTGTGTTTTGAGTATTTTGCCAATCCTGCGTGATCTATCACGTGATCTATCGGGCTTGTGATGTTGATGATGTAATTGATAATATCCATACCGAGAGCTGTAACTTGTGCACCCAGCACACCATGATCGCTCATCGTTCTCATCGTTGTTACCACCTTTATCACAGGTGCTGATCAGAGAACCTCTGAAATATAGTAGTGTGTTCTGCTCCGCAAAGCCTGTGGACTATCTATTGCGCCAAAGCTAACATATATGGCAGCATTGTCACCCTTTAGTTTTTGCTTAGTTGGATTCCTTGAAGGCTTGCAAATATGCCACAATGCCTCTCCCATGGATCTCTCTGATTTGGTTTGCGTATCTAATAGTGATAACTGTTCTGATTGTTGTTGCCTCGGTCTTTATACATGTATATCAGACGCCTCGGGATCGATCCTCATTTGTGACCTTTATGTGTGTCTTTTCAATTGCCGCTCTTCTTGCGACTGTAATGTTACTACCAGTCGATGTCGCTTTGGTTTCCTCAACGACATCATCCGCTCTGGGTCAGCGAAAAGAGTGGGCCACCCAAGAAGAGGTCGATAAAATTACCTACTCCTTAACAGTTATCTATTACTCGCTATACTTTCTGGATGCTCTGCTCTGCCTTGTTGGAATCCCTTTTGCCTACTTCTGGCACGAGGAATATGATGAAGTAGCCTTCGAGGCGGGCGATCAGACACCCTGCAAGCGGTTTTGGGCTGCTACCAAATACACTCTGGCTTTCATTGCAGTAGTCATTGCGTTGGTTCTTGTCGGCTTCTTCGCTCCTATGTCGGAGAGTCAACCTGGCCACGATCTGGGGTATTGGCGAGGATTTTTGATCGAGAACCGTGAGTTTGACGCCTTTTCGGATGACGACTTTCTTCTCAAAACGCTCATGATGTCCTACAGGAGGTGAACATGCTTTTACATTTCTCCTCGGGTTCGTAACAACCATTGGCTCTTGTCTATATGTCTTCTATACACCTTCAGGGCTAGCATTGCTTCCGGCGCTTTTTCTCAGAAGATCCTATTCTTTCGCGAACCAAACATTGGTAGGTTCTACAGCCATGCAACTGGATTTCAATCGTGAACGGCAACGCCAATTGGAAGGTCGCTGCGGGGGTAATTCGGCGCTTCTATCTCCAAAAGACCGAAGAGAATTGGACACTTTGGTGCGGGAAGAGAGGACTCTCATCCGCCGGCAGCGCTTGATCGAAGGACGCCAAGAAGAAGACCAAAGCTGGCCAGTCACCGTTTACTCCAAACTGAAGACTATCCTCCGTCCGTTCAGGCTTCTGGGCGGCTTCAGTCTATTTCTCGTTGGGCTTTCGACGTGGATTTCATTGCTCATGACCGTTATTGATAAATTGATAAATTCGCCTTGCAAGCATCACTGTGGTTATGTACTCAGCCGTACCAACTTCAACCCTATCAGCTGGCTTCTTATTCAATCTTCCAGGGCTTTTCCAACTGACTATATCATTTTTGCGCTTATTGTCTTCTTATTCTTTTGGGGCTCGGTCGTCGGCGTTGTCGCGGTGGGCATTCGGTTTCTTTGGATACGAATTTTCCAAATTAGGAAAGGTCACACGTCACCCCAGGCCATGTTGCTGGCGACAGCCATGCTGACGTTGATAACCCTGGGCTTGAATTACTCGGTTGTCATGATGCTTGCACCTCGGTACGCAACATTCGGACCGCAAACTTTCTGCGACTTAGCCCCGACGTCTTCAGAAGAGCAGCCGGATTGCTCAAACCACTGGCATTTGGTCAAGCCATGTTCAGAGAAGGCAGATAGCACAGCTGCAGATAACACCTGCACTCCCAGCGTCGCAAGCACCATTTTAAATCGGGTGGCGCTGAATTTTCCACTTTTTGGGGCCTTGCTGCTTTGGGCACACTTTCTTTTCCTTGGTATTTGGCAGACCTGTCCCAAGGCAATTTGTTTCTTATGCTGCAAACTTGGAAGCTAACAATTGTGCAAAAATAGGTATCTACTTGGTCATCCTTGTGGCATCTCTCGTCCGCTCGCCGAGACTCGACGAACGCCAGCTGGATGAGGACGCCGAAGAGGCAGAGGAAGAGAGTCTGTTAGCAAGCACCGGAAGAAGTGGCAATCCTACATGAGGGGACGTCCCAACGCTTCCAGAGAGCCCGCTACTTCGAATAATGAACGAGTATTTTGAAAAGGTTTTCTTGATTCAAGAGGTGATAACAAGGAAGAGACGGCGGATATGGTGATTTTCGCCAAAGGATTATAGCCTTGCGTCACGTGATTTATATTGTTACCTCTCGGGTTCCCTCATTTATGCTCCCCTTCGTGACAGTCGCAATTTGCGAGATGCCGTCGTCGAGCCTCTGTACGGTAACTTTCAAGTGGGCAGGTCTGAATTTCAAGGGAGCCTCCCTTAAAGTGTCCTTCGACTTGATATACCTAAGACTTTGGGGCATTGTTCAGGAGAGCGAGAGCACTTTCGAAAGCCTTCACAACGTCGGCATCTGCATGGATATGTTAGCACGGCTTGGCTGGCGGCAATTGTTGTACTCTCGCACAATGTTTTCTCCTATTTTCTAAATCCTCTTGGGAGGTCTGCACATGCTGCGACTGGGTTTTGAATCTAGACAAAAGTCAGCTGAACTGTCGGCTAGCTGTAAGGGTACAGGCCGCGACCTTTTCAGCGCTCTGCTTTCATCCCGAAGAACAGCAGACTGTGACCAGGCCGTAAAAATCTAGACAGGCAATGTCAGAGAGGTGGGTCATGGCTTAGAAACGTACAAGGTACCTCAAGAAACCTCAAAGATCGAGCCCGCAACTCTTCCTCAGCATCCCCATGCTGTTTCATTATATCTGAGTATATTTGTTCAAGTTTTGTCCAGTGGCATTGTGACAAGTCTTCTGCCAACTGCCGTCTGACTTGTGGAACATTATGATGCTCATCCAAACTTTTCTGCTGATCTGGTCCGGATCCATGATCGCCGTAGTCAATAGAAGCTTTGACGTGGGTTGGTCCACCCAGTGAATCCATCTTTACATGCAGTGCCTTATCACGGCACTTCTTCTCAAACGTTGTATAAATAGACCGAAAGATAGAAGGTCAACAGTCGAAAGGATGATTGTTTGCTCGCAGGTTCTAAATTTTAAACAGCTTGTTTTACCTTGCTGTCACTCCTGCCTCGCTAATACCGTGCTTCAGCATCGAACAGTTCGTGGGAATCACCAGTTCTGCCAGATAGCAAAGCAGAGTGTGTGGCTGCCTGAGGCATAAAATGTGAGAGTAGTATCATGTGACGTCAACGTTCGAGCACATACCGCACCTCCAACTAGGCCTGCTACAAGAAATGTTTGACTGCTGGGAGTCATGAACCATCATTCTTCGATTCTATACACTTTCTTGATGTTTTATGAGTTGCCTAGCGGGCAGACCGAGATTCATAGACTAATAGGAGGGCGCAAGAATGTGAGCTATCTGCTGACGGCACGATAGCACAATAAACAGTACGTTTGAGATGAATTGTCCTATTTGCTCTCGAGTCTCAAGCTCGCGCCTACGCTTTTATTGTCCCACCTGTGCCTGTAACCAACTATACACACTACGTATCGATAATGCCAGGGTTCTCCTGGAGAAGGATACCTTAGGACGGCAGCTCGAGAAAGCACTTCTGCATCAGACATCTCCTACTCTCTCCCATCATCGCCCTGAAGAATGCTCGACGCAGTCGCCGAATAAGGTGCCCAGTCCTCAAGATGTCTTGCAAATCATAAACGCAAAAGCCGAGTCTTCCATCAGGAGGAAAGAGCTTGCGCTTCAGATCCAGCAACTGAAATCCGAGATTAAAGACAGGCAACTTGGCATTTCTCAGCGGAGGTTGACATTAGCCCGACGACGTTCAGATGCTGAGTCTTCAAAGTTTCAGCTGGAAAGTCGCGAGATAGCTCTGATATGTGGTGTCCAGAATACCATCAAAAGGACGGAGCATCTCTGGCATTCCTTGCACAGCAAGACAGCTGAGGCTCGGATCTTTCTATGCCGGGAGGTTGCGAATCTATACAGCCTAAGACAGTGGATAAAGCAGGATGGCAGTGAAATGAAGGAGACATACGTAATTGGTGGTGTTCCTATCATTAATCTCCGAGACCTCAACGGGAAGTCCCAAACCTGCCCCTCCTCCTGGATATGCCAACCCGAAGTATTAATGCCCAAATAGGTGCCACTGCGGTCCAAATATCAACATCATTCTCCTATATTGCTCATCTTCTAGTCCTCGTTTCACATTACTTATCTTTGAGGCTTCCGGCGGAGATTACCCTTCCTCATAGAGACCATCCCGTTCCCACGATCCAGGCACCTATTGGGTCGTATACCTCACGGGAGTCGATCTTGACAGCCACGTCAACGCAGCCGCATAACCCTGCTTCATCTACGACACACCCATTAGGCTTTCAGTCTAATCATTACCAACCTCGGCTTCTCACTATCGATAGAAGTTTACCAAAGCTCGCTAGGGAAGACCCAGGGTCATACGTCCTTTTCCTAGAAGGAGTTACATTGTTGGCCTGGAACGTTTCCTGGCTATGTCGTACGCAAGGATTCAATATCGTGTCGGACTCTTGGGAAGAGGTCTGCGATATTGGGAAGAACATGTGGCAGCTACTTGTTGCTCCTCCGCTGGAAGCGGCAAGTCTAATGAGAGCATTTGCTGGTCGAGAAACGCAACCTATGAAGCTCTTAAGAGACCCTCCTAGAACTTCTATCCAAAGGACCATATCGTTCCCCATGATGGGGCATTACTCACATGGCACTGTTCATTCATTCCTGGGTGCTTCGGAAGGTACGGAGTTCGTTAGGACGTGGAGACTGCCGATCCCGCTCAAGGTTGTCGACAAATTGAAATCAATGCTCCTGGGAGAGATGGCGAGCGCGGAATGGGAAGTTCTCGAGGAGAAAGAGTGGAATGATAGTGAACAGAGTTCGACGAGAGCGCCTGTCCAAGGGTCGAGGTCGCAGCCTGAAGACGACGTAATTCCGGACAAGAATTATGTCAGCCATATGGCATCAGCTAGTGGCGTCCCTAATGAATTAGATAGCACCAGCCGCCCACGGGGAAGTAGTGGCTGGACTAAATTGAGAAATCGATAACTGGAAATCGTTACTGTACTTGTGATCCTAATCATTACCCACCCAACGAATAGCCTTTAATGGTGAGACTAGGATAGAAAAAAAGCTTGGGTGAAAGCAATTATTGGTGTTGAGGCAAGATTTACAGCTTGCAATATTGTTTAGCAACGTAGCTCTAAACGCAGCCAGACCGAAACACCTTCTCAATCCAAAAGAGAAGAAATAAAACCAATGTTAACCTAGAGCGTTGAATGATAAGTGTGTTTGCAGCAGACTGGAAGATCTAATGATTGATAAGATAACAAGCATCTATGTATGTACGCCCGGATTATCCTTTCACCTCTCACTACGTCTCATCCGATCCGCATAATTGTTACCTACTCTACTCCATACAAAGACAGGTAAGATTTCGTCCTTTCATTTCTGGCTCGCAACTCCTGTCTTATTCATTGTTTTGACGATGGTTCCTGTCCCTTAGCAGACTCTCCTGCTCTATAGTGTTACCACTCAAGCTTGGCAATCAAATACAGAGGCCTGCTGTCCAAATAGTGTGTCAACCTCACTCTGTTCGGGTCATGGCATTGATCAAATCTTAAGAAAGGCTCCGATCAAGATGGGCCAGCTTACGCAATGGCTACAGTCAAAGATGGCAGCTTCTGGTAAGTATTTTCTAACTCACATATTCCATACACATATCACTTAAGGAGCTCATTTGCATTGATAACTATTCTCTGGTCGCTGCAACTTCGGTGTGGTAATGATTATATCAACTAATACTCCATCTTTGTTGCAGCCCTCAATCGAAGTATGCCTCTAGTCTCAGACTTACCTGATTCCGTTCTCCGGGCAGAGCTTATTCGGAGGAGTGAAATTCGGGGATCGACCAGCGATCGAGTAGCTTGTGGTTCGAAGGAGAAAGGCGCTTACAACACCCAAATACATGTGCTGGCATTGTTCCTTATTCTGGTTTTGAGCACATTAGGTATTGTTTACATCTGGAAACGTTTGATATTGTCTCAAATATACTGATCATATATAGCATGTTCATTTCCAGTTCTCGCACGTCGATTTCCACGGCTACCGATACCGCGCCACTTTCTTTTCATCTCCAGGCATTTCGGAACGGGGGTCTTGATTGCCACAGCTTTCGTTCACTTGTTACCCACGGCATTTGTCTCTCTTACGGATCCTTGCCTTCCTCGTTTTTGGTCGGAGACCTATCGTGCAATGGCTGGATTTGTAGCCATGATATCGGTTTTTCTGGTTGTCGTCGTAGAAATGGTTTTCGCTACGAAAGGTGCGGGTCATGTTCATGGGAGCGAGTATGATCATCTAATTGGCAGTGTTGGGCGGGGGTCTAGCGAGTCTGTTCGTGATGACGCAAATTATCTGAGGCTTGGCCGTCATCACTCGACAGAGAACCTGCGCCTTAATCTCATTCAAGCAAATAGTTACGCGGATGGAGCGCAGGAGCGCCCCAGTCCATTGTCCCGGATGTCAACAGATGGTGTCGAACAAGGGCGGTCTAAGAAAATGGGCCCTTACCGTGAAACCGGCGACGCTGAGTTCGGAGACATCGATTCTCTGGACAATCACAGTGATTCTCAGGTCTCTGACTCGCAACCTCGCAACCTGCAATCCCAACGACGTGATTTGGATCCAAAACCGAGTCCTGGGTTACCAATGCAAAGCCCGCAGCGTCAGTTGCTGCAATGTCTTCTCCTCGAGGCTGGTATCCTCTTCCACAGTATCTTTATCGGCATGGCCCTCAGCGTCGCCACTGGGACGTCATTTATTGTCCTTCTTGTGGCTATCTGCTTTCACCAAACTTTCGAAGGTTTCGCTCTTGGATCGCGTATTGCATCCTTGATACCGGACCTTTTTTCACCGTCGTCGCCGAAGCCCTGGCTTATGTCGCTTGCCTACGGAACTACAACACCCGTAGGACAAGCTATCGGCCTAGTTTTGCACAATCTCTATGACCCTGCAAGCACCACGGGCCTGCTCATGGTTGGCATCACCAATGCAATCAGCAGCGGGTTATTACTTTTTGCTGGACTTGTGGAACTCTTAGCGGAGGACTTTCTAAGTGAGTCTAGCTACGCGACACTCAGGGGTCGGCGGCGTATTGAGGCCTGTATAGCCGTCGCGAGCGGGGCTCTGCTGATGGCATTTGTTGGCGCCTTTGCCTAGATTTTAGTCAGGATCTGTCTTGTATCTTTTTGTAGATATTGATTGATATAGACTGCTTACAGCTGCTACCCGTCATGTGCGATACGTTACGCAGACCTGGTTTTACATTTTCGTATAAATGTCTCTAGCTTTATGTAGATGTCCAAGGCTCGAGTCAAACGCTCTCTAAACATAAGTGCAGGCGTCAGAACCGAGGGCTTCGCGTGAATAGTTTAGAATCTCCATCATGCTACTTTCCTTTCCGTCAAAAGGAGCTCATATTGAATAAAGCATGCCTGCCTTGACACTATCAATTAACTTAACGGATCACACTTCACACAAAGTAATGTAAACTACATCACTCTAAGCTCAGATATTGTCAGCACAGATAGGCTAGTAGACGTTTCCAGTCGTTTCCTGAACAAGCATGGCATATGTATATTCCAGCACGGAGAGTAATGACCAAAGTTGATCCTTCATGAGCTAGGGGATATCGACACTTTCACGCAAACAGTCCTAGGACCACAGATCATGTGCACGCTATGATATATTCAGTCGACACATATGGAAAAGGCCAAAAATCCATCTAAAGTAGCTCGACCACCAGAGCACTAGCTCCACCGCCGCCGTTACAGATGCCAGCACAGCCAAGTTTTCCTTTCTTGGCCTTCAAAACACCGAGCAAGGTGGTTATAATACGCGCACCACTAGCACCGATAGGGTGACCGATAGCAACGGCTCCTCCATGAAGGTTAACCTTTTCCTCAGGAATGCCAAGTAACTTCATATTGGCGAGAGCAACAACGCTGAAAGCCTCATTGATCTCAAAAGCATCAATGGCATCCTGGCTCACACCTGCGTGTTTGAGCGCTTTCGGGATTGCAAGAGCTGGAGCAGTCGTGAATTTGCTGGGTTGCTGAGCAGCGTCTCCCCATCCAAGGATCTTCGCAACCGGCTTCAAATTGAGCTCCTTCAACTTAGCCTCTGAAACAAGGACGACAGCAGCAGCGCCGTCGTTGAGAGGAGAGGAGTTAGGCGCCGTCACTGTCCCAGAACCAGGTATAAACGCAGGCTTGATGGCTCGAAGTTTCTCCGGGTTGAGCTAAGGACTCAATGATCAGCCTGACATGAACGCAACGCGTCGGATGGAGATGCTCACATTCTTCGGTTCTTCATCTTGCGTCACAGTCACACCTGGTTTTCCCCTAAACCCAGGAAGCTGGATAGGGGCAATCTCTTCGTCGAAAAGCCCAGCCTTCTGGGCCGCCTGAGCTTTTTCATAGGTGCGGATAGCATAATCATCCTGTTGTTCCCTGCTAAAACCATGATCTTGGGCGCACTCCTCCGCTTGTAATCCCATGAGTTCCTGCTTGCCTGCGTCAGTCAAGCCATCCTTCATGATGCCATCCACCAGACTTTGATGGCCGTATTTAGCACCATTACGCAGATTTGGGAGATAGTGTGGTGCGTTCGACATCGATTCCGTACCGCCAGCCACAACGACGTCAGCATTTCCGGTCATGATAGTCTGGGCACCGAGTATGATCGCCTTCAACCCGGACGCGCAAACCTTGTTGACGGTGGTACAAACGGTCGACTCTTCAAGCCCAGCACCAAGCGCACATTGTCTAGCAGGATTCTGTCCGACACTACAAAATGTCATCAGTACCCGCTTTCGATAGGTTCAGAACGCTCACACAAGGCTCAGCTCACTTCGCAGAAATGACATTGCCGAAGAAGACCTCCTGCACGTCCGAAGGCTTAAGTCCGTCAACTTTGGCAAGAGCAGCTGTTTCCGACCATTAGAAAGATCGAACCCATTAGGAGAACTTTTTTAGACAACGCGCTATGGACTTATAACATACCCTTGATGGCATGGGAACCAAGCTGCGGGGCAGTCAAGCTTGAGAGCGAACTATGCAGATGAGACAAAGGTCAACCTCATTCTTCAAGTGAAACAACCACAAATTACGAAGTCCTACCCCAAGAAAGACCCCACCGGTGTTCGGGCGGAAGAAACAATATAGACAGCTGGAAGCGAAGACATAGTAGTCATTCGTTGTGTTCAGACTTTCTAAGTAGCAAAAGAGTTTGATCCAAGCCTTGAAGAGGGCAGGCACCGCGACAATAACAATTCGCTGGGCGTCAGTCTTGAGGTCTTTTCTCTGAAATCTAGACCAATTTTTAGAGAATGTCTCCAAACGATGTCGGATGAAGAATCGGGCGAATCCAGGGTGGGGGTTGTAGGAAAATATAAGCACAGAGGTCAACCTCCCCTTTAGAGCAAAGCGGGGCGACATTCGCGTGTGGTAACTCAGAAGGGTTGGCCAAGCCCGGGCCACTCGAGTACCCAATTCGGACCTTCCGAAGTTCAGACAGCTTTTTTTGGTTTGAGCAAAGAAGGCATCCGCTCCAACGTCTGGAGCCAGGTCTGTCCAGATTCAGAATTTATTCGCGCAATGGAGGATCTTTATGATGAGTATGCCATATGGAAATAAAGTTTTATACAAATAGAACTTAACTAATCTGGCTCTAGGTTCGGCAATTACATTGGAGAGCCTGCGGACTCTGACGAGGAAAACCAAGATGAAGAGCTCAAGCCGCAGACATTTGCTTTCGACGAAGCATTTGGAGAGGAAGAAGATGAAAACCAGAATGCAGATCAATTGATGGAGGTTGACGGTATTTCATATCTTTCGAAGCATTACTACCTCACGCTCGTTCTGACTTCGTATGCAGAAGGCCCTTCGAATGCGGTCGTCCTACATGAAGACAAACAATATTATCCTAGTGCAAAGCAAGTCTACGGTGACGAGGTTGAGACCTTGGTCCAAGAGGAGGACTCGCAGCCACTTTCGCAACCCATAATCGCTCCCGTCCAGCAGAAGAAGTTTGCGATCGAGGAGGCCGAGCTGCCACCCGTTCATTTCTCGCGAGAGTTTATGACAGACTTGCTCAGTTTTCCTAGTCAAATAAGGAACATCGCGCTCGTTGGCCATCTTCACCATGGGAAAACAGCGTTTATGGACATGCTTGTGACGCAGACACATGATTTGACAGAGCGTCTGGAGAAGCGAGTAGGCAAGCGGAAGGAGGAACAGCTCCGCTATACCGATATTCACTTCTTAGAGCGAGAGCGGGGTCTCTCTATAAAGTCGGCACCTATGACTTTAGTACTCCAAAACACCAAAGGAAAATCTCATCTTTTCAATATCATTGACACTCCCGGCCATGTGAATTTCGTGGACGAGGTGGCCACATCGTCTCGGCTCGTCGACGGAATAGTGCTGGTCGTGGATGTCGTCGAAGGAGTGCAAGCGAACACGGAACAGATCATTAAGCACGCCGTGCTGGAAGGTCTTCCCATAACGATGGTCGTGAACAAGATGGACCGGCTGATTTTGGAGTTGAAGATTCCGCCGAATGATGCTTACTTCAAGTTAAAGCACGTGGTCGAAGAGGTAAACACTATTATCGAGAGGATTCTGCCCGGGCAAGGGGAAAGGTATCGGCTGAGCCCTGAAAAGGGTAACGTTGCCTTTGCATGTGCCTCTATGGAATGGTGTTTTACCCTACAATCTTTCGCCAAAATGTATGCCGAAACTTATCCCCAAGTCGAAACGTCTGACTTTGCCTTACGTCTTTGGGGGGATATTTTCTTCAACCCAGGAAGCCGAAAGTTTACTCGAAAAGGAGTGGAAGAGAATTCCAAACGGACATTCGTCCAATTCGTCCTGGAGCCTATTTATAAACTCTACTCTCACACCATAAGTGAAAGTCCAGATGACCTGAAAGAAACGCTTGCAGGTGTGGGTATCAACTTGAAGCCGTCGCAACTCAAGTCAGATGCGAGGGTGCTACTCAACATGGTCTGCCATGAATTCTTTGGTCCTGCCACTGGCTTTGTGGACATGATCGTACAGCATATTCCCTCCCCAGTAGAAGGAGCCCAAAGAACACTCGACAGGTACTATACCGGCCCCCTTGATACGAAAGTTGCAGCCGCCATGGCAGCCTGTGACCCGGACGGGCCGCTTGTCGTCCATGTCACAAAGCTCTTTACCAGCACGGATGCTACCAAGTTCCATGCGTTTGGAAGAGTCATGAGCGGGACGGCGCGCCCTGGTCAACCGGTCAGAGTGTTGGGCGAGGGCTATACACCTGAGGATGAGGAAGACATGGTCACAGCGACTATATCGGATACATGGATTGCAGAAACCTGCTATAGCATCCCAACCAGTGGTGTTCCTGCGGGAAACTTGGTTCTGTTAGGTGGTGTGGACAATTCCATCGTCAAGACTGCCACAATTGTCCCCTTGAGGCTGGAAGATGGCGAGGAAGCATACATCTTCAGACCTATTCGACACATTACAGAGTCTGTTTTCAAGGTTGCTGTTGAGCCGGTTAACCCATCAGAACTTCCCAAAATGCTTGACGGGCTGCGGAAGATTAATAAAAGCTACCCTCTCATCTCAACGAAAGTAGAAGAGTCCGGTGAGCATGTGGTCTTAGGAACCGGAGAGCTTTACATGGATTGTGTGCTCCACGATCTTCGAAGACTTTATTCGGAGATGGAGATTAAGGTGTCCGACCCTGTCACCCGTTTCTGCGAAACTGTCGTTGAGACTTCGGCTATCATGTGCTATTCTATCACGCCAAATAAGAAGAATAAGATTACCATGATTGCGGAGCCCTTGGATGATGGGATTGCCGAAGACATCGAGAGCGGCAGAGTCAGTATCAAAGATCCAATCCGCAAAGTAGCGAGGTTCTTTGAAGACAAATACGATTGGGACAAGCTCGCAGCTAGAAGTATCTGGGCTTTCGGCCCTGACGAGATGGGCCCCAATATTCTACAAGACGACACGCTACCGTCGCAAGTGGACAAGAAGCTACTTGGGAATGTCAGGGATTCCATCACACAAGGTTTCAGCTGGGGCACACGGGAAGGCCCTCTTTGCGAGGAACGTAAGTCTTCTGGTTGTTCTTTGTTTGCTCGGTCCTTTTTTCTTCTTCCCCAACGATCTCCCCCATCATTTCTCCTCCCCTCTCGAACCCCGTGATCTTTCTTCCTGTCGAGGCACTTCCTATATTTCCAAACTATGACCATACATGGAGACTAATTTTGAGACAGCAATACGAAACGCGAAGTTCAGGCTCACAGATGTATCTCTTGCTGACCAGGCCATTTACAGGGGAGGTGGTCAGATAATCCCTACGGCCCGACGTGCCGTTTACTCCTCCTTCCTCATGGCATCACCTCGCTTGATGGAACCCATATATTCTTGCACCATGACAGGGCCTGCGGATGCTGTGGCTTCGGTATATACAGTGCTCTCACGCAGAAGGGGCCATGTTCTGTCAGACGGGCCAATTGCTGGGACACCACTGTATACAGTGCAAGGCTTGATTCCCGTTATTGACTCTTTCGGGTTCGAAACGGATCTCAGAATTCATACTCAAGGTCAAGCTGCGGTCAGTCTTGTGTTCGATCGATGGAGCGTCGTTCCAGGCGATCCGCTGGATCGCGAAGTCAAGACAAAGCCACTCGAGATGGCGCCCGCGATGGCCACAGCGAGGGATTTTGTATTGAAAACAAGGAGACGGAAAGGTTTGGCAGAAGATGTGACAGTGAGTAAATTTCTGGAACCGGAGCTCTGGAAAGGCCTGAAGGAAAGTGGCGTTTTGGATTCATGACGGGCTCGACCCCTGCTCAACCGAGTGAGAAGGGCATACCACAAGTATCGATCTATCATGTAGACGTAATGTCGAGAATTTGAAGCAACGTATTGTCGAGTCAAAGAATAGGCCTGCGAACGCCACAGTCTGGCGACACTGCGTTTGAAACCTGAGCTGGTTACGCAGCTAACTTCTGGTTACTGGCATGTTTCCAGCATCTTGGCGATAACGCCCATCAATGTTCCGTTTTCGAGTGCAGCTGCCACTCTTTCCTTATCACCCAGTTGCTTGTTAACCTCATCGGCGGTACTATGCGTTCCCTCCTTGATTCGCACGTCCACACGGAACCTGGGCGGAAGTGACTGTTCAAGCCGCACACGTACACCGAGACCAATAACGGTAGCCAGGCTACAGTGTGTGATTGTCGGGGTTATAAGAACTGTGACAGTGCGAAGAGGGGATTCGGGTACATGGGGAAGAGATGGCTTGATCACAATATCTGCAAGTGAGACAACAGCTAGTGACCCCAGCGAAATTGGATGTTCTGGGTCAGATATGGTTGAGACGAGGTCTAAGATATGATTAGACATACATTCATGACTTAGTTCTTCTTCCGAGTGCAGCCACCCCAGGACTAATCAAAAAGAAACCATTCACTTTCTTACCAAAAATCTCTTGTTCGTCTATTGGCTCATCTGACATGTCATTATCCTCTTCAGAGTCTGGGTGTGGAATCAGGGAGAAGGAATCGCCCAACTGCCCAAGCGACTGAAGTGTGGAACTGAAGATATCAGTTCCATAAGCATAGGGCTTCTGCGGCGCCTTGGGTAGCCGAGTTGGCAGATCAGCGGCATTCAAGATTATTGGATTCGAGTTCTGCATTTCAGAGGCCATTTTGTATTGGCAAGCCTGAAAGTCAGCGGTTTTGTAGCGTTGAGAGAATATGCTGAACTGTCGGCATTTATTACAGAAGAGTGGGGGGGGGGGGGGAGGCAATATTTTATGTAGTCTAGGCATGCTTCCACCAAAAGCTAGCTACATGCCAAGTTACACCCCACCAAGTACTTGGACAGATAAGAGCCGACGAGGCTCCCACACCAGAGCAGACACCATCTACTAGTCTACCAGCGACACAGGGACCCTGGTACGAATCAGAACCGTGAGACCGATGAATTGGTAGACCTGTGCAAAAAGACAATTCAATACATATACCTGACCGACGACTGTTCATCAGGTTATGTTCCAGAGGATGCTGAATCCATTAAAGAGCATCTTGTGGATGCTTCTCCAATATAATCATATTACGGTTGAAACCTTCTTCCAAATATTCTAGTAGTTGTTTTCAAACCGATAGGATCGCTACATATC